ATTTTCATATCCTGCATATATTCACAAAAGCAAAGAGAAGGCACTTAAAATTTGGGATTAAAAAATTAGCGGGAGAAGGAAGGCAAGAGAAAGTAATAATTAAGCATGAGGGTCTTGTTACTATTCATACCTGCAAGTTATGTGCAATAGGTAAAGATGAAATAAAGAATAAAAAGATGATATGATCTGATACAGTTTTCCTCCTAAAATATATACATGTCATATGTGATTTTTTTGAATTTTTAAAAATCAACACAATGCATCAGATAATTTTAAAAAATTAAATGGGCAAAATGACTAAGAAGGGTTTTTTTTTAAGTGAATGGGGGGTGGAAGGTTAGTCACCTAGAGGTTAGTCTCTGTCCAAAACTGGAAAAAAAAATAGTTCAAATTTTTCATAAGAAAACTATACCAATCAGTTTTGAAAAGGAATCACCAGCTGCTAGCAAATTTCAGGTCTTGGAAAATTCTAACCCTAAAAAGAGATACATTTTTTAAATTTATAAATAATAAAGTGTGACAGAGGAATAAATGTTACTTTCTTCCACATAAGAAAGGGAAGGCTATCTTGCAGGCATTTCCCATAATGTTTACCTCCTTTCACCACGAATACATATTTTGTACGATTTCAAAAAGCACAAAAAGAGAAGGTTTCAGTTTTGGGGGGGGGACTCGCAAGTTTTGTTTTGTTTTGTTTTGTTTTTGCTTTAAAAAATAATCCACTCTTAAGATTCATAAAATAGGAATACAAATTCCTAGGTCAGTAAATCTATTTTAATTGGCTTAGAGATTTTAAATTTTGCTAAGAAAGAGAAGAAAAGTTTAGCCCTGAAGAAACATAGAATTATAAAAAACCTCCACAGATCACATACAGGTAAGTAGGTAAGGCTAATTAGCTATTTTAATGGTTCAGTTAATTTCAAATTCAGGATTCTTTGGCGTGGTATTTTTTTTTTTAATTTCAAGGAGAATAAGTTGCTTCATTTTCATTTTAGACATCTCTATGTGATTGACAGTTATCCTCAATCATTTAACATTAATGAAATTTTAGATAAAATGACAGCCTTAAAATACAAACTCACAATTTTCCTAAACTAATTCAGCCTTCTAATATTTTTGATATATAAGGCCAGCTGTCATCATTGGACTTGGATTAGAACATTTCATTTCCACCCCAATCCTTTGCTAGCTATGGAATCCTAGGCAAGCCACATCAATTTGCTCCTCAGATTCTTCATCTGCAAAATGGAGATAATAATAATATTTCACTACCTGCCACAGAATTGCTGTGAAGTAAGTGATTCGTGATCTGCAAAGTGCTATATAAATACGAGTGCTATTCTTGTTGTCATTATTACTGTGATGTTAATGATGCTATTTAAGCCACCAGACTAAAGAGCAGATTATAAACCCTCAGTTTATAGAGTAGACGATAAATCAGAGTAGATTATCAATTCTGTAACATATATATTTCATAGCTGTATAAAAGAAAAAAATGAACTAGCACCACAGTACCTCAACATAACATCCTTTACTTTTAATATTTGAGAAAAGCAGGTTTTAGACTGGTGATAATACTATCAGGCTTTGTCTAACTGGTGATAAAACATCTAGTCAAATCTGTTGGAACCCTCATAGGATCAATCAAAACAGCTGTGAGATTTACATAGGTAAAATCACAAGTCAATTGACTGAACTTTTTGTTTTCAATTGGCTTCTGTGGTAACTCCATCCACACCATGAAATTGTCATTACCACTTGCAAAAACATTAGTTGTATCTCAATTCCATTACTTTAACCAGTGTAAAATAAAAATGGGGAAATGGTCAGAAGGAAAATATTTTTCAAGAAAACATAAACTAAATTACATTTATCCATTCATATCAATATATACAGTCTTCATTCTTTGACTAATAAATTCTAAAGTTCCACACATTGTCAAATACATATGATTTTTAAATTTTGCTTTAAAATGAATTGTCAATTTTGCTTCTTAGACTGAATTTCTAAAAGAGGTTCTTAACCTCATCTGTGTTGTGGACCCCTTTGGCAGTCCAATGAAACCTTTGGATCTTTTCTCAAAATAATGTTTTTGAATACATAAATCAAATACATAGAATTACAAAGGAAATAAAATATATTAAAATACAGCCCTCCAATTTTTTTTTAATTTTATGGATCCCAGCTTTAGAACCTCTGACCTAACATAAAGTTCTTTGGAGATGGAGATAGTGCAGAGCTAAGATACAATGTTCATATTTGCCACTGAAGGATGCAGACATTTTAAGTAAAAGATGAATTCCTCTTGATTTGAACAGGTTTGCTTTCCAATTATTAACAAGGCAGCAAAATAATCTACCAAAGTACAGTCTCATTAGGACCCATTGAAATTCAATGACATTTAATTCACAATAAAAGACCTAAAAAAAAAAATGAAAAAAAATTTCTGAAGTCCACTATAAAGTTGAGGAATTCACACCAATGCCTATCTAGTAAAGAAAGTGAAATGCCCTGAGATTGCACTTAATATATATTTTACTCTCTTATTGGAAAGGAGGGGGGGCAGAAATAGTGGATGGAAGAATACTTCCTCTTCCATTTTAACCCTGGCTTAAAATACTTAGAGCAAGCTTACATATCATTAAAAGGGAAAAGCAGATAACACTACAGGTTGTGCCTTCAACTATCTGGTTCTCATTAGACCTAGGACATTAAATCCCTTTGAAATTGGTTTTAGATGTATGGACCCAAACCATCTCAAAGGCCTACCATCCCAAAAACCAGAACTTGGCTTTTCCATTGGGAAGCACCTGCCCTTTAACCATCTTTCCTCAGCTATAAATATCCCTGGGAATAAAATACTGAACCGAAGAGCTGGAATTTAGGATAGTAATTGGGCCAGGCACTTGTATAAGAAGTTAGTCCTGAAGCCCAACACAAAAGGAATCCAAATTCAACACCTAATTGTCCAGGTTCACTAAGAACTACTCCATCATTAGTCCTGTGGGAGGGGGGGAGGAAGGGAAGTAAGGGCGAGAGGAGGTTGGCAGTGAAACGAGGACATTGGCTCATTCTTCCTTGAAAGTGCAATGTTTAGGGGTTATTCTGACCCAGACTGCTCTCAAACAAATTCATTCACCTGAAATATATCTTGGCCATATTAGAGATAGGGCAAAGTTAGAAAAAGTGGGATGAGGATGGGGGAAGGAGAAGAATTTAGAAAAGATATAGGTAGAAAAATCTCCCAAAGAAAAGGAATGAAAGAAAATGAAAAAAAAAATGCCACCAAAATGTCAAAAAAAAATCTTCCTCAGATTTATACTGAACAACAAATGGCTAGACTACATATCGCTGATCTTCACGTGGGTCATTTTCCTGAGTATCTTTTTTTTTCTCTCTAGCAGGAAAGCTGGAGGTGCGCGGTTCACAGAAATCTAAGTTATCTGGCAGCAAAGAATATAAAATCAGGAACAACTCCATGGGGCACGTTTTCTTGGTTACATGCTACCTACAAATTCCCTGCCGTCAGATGTCACATGGCATCATCTGCTCCAACATTGGCTCGGATGCCTTCGCAGCTAGCAAATTGTTGAGACCTGTATAACTTCTGTCCATTTCTCCGTTTTGTTTTGTTTTGTTTCCTCCATCGGGGCAACACTGTCAAGAAAATACTGAGATTTGTGGTAGGGTGGGCTTGGGGTAGAGTGTAGTCGTGAAGCGGAAAAACTGCGGAGGAGGAGAGTGAGGAATCCTCAGGTTTGTACCCTCACACGCTCCACGTTGTCAGTAACCTCAAACACCTCCAACCCCAACTACCTGCTTTGGACATGTAGTAACTCACAGTTCCTGGTGTTTATTTGGGTTTTGTTCTCCACCCCACTCCACTTGCCGCCGCCGCCACCCCCACTCCCCAGATAGCTAGGGCTTTGTATGTACCGTTCTTTAAGGATTTGTTTGGTTAGAAAGCACATGGGGTTCCTGACCTGTTTCTCACGGGGAAGGGGTTAGAACGGGGAGCGGCGAGGGGGACTGGGAATACGATTTTCAAAATGCCGCCAAGGGAGAGAACCTGACTTTAGAAGACCGGAACAGAAAATAAGCCGCACTTTTCTTGCTCTTCCCACTACCCCCAACCCACCCAACTTCTGTCTCTTCCAGTCTGTGTGTGTGTGTGTGTGTGTGTGTGTGTGTGTGCGCGCGCGCGCGTGTTCTCTTTCTCTGTTCTATCTGTCCCTGTCTTTCTATGAGTCTCGCTCTCTTTGTTTCTCCCTTGCTCTGTGTGTATATCTCTGTCTCTTTGTCTCTCTTTCTCTGTCCCATTCTTTCTTACTGTCCGTTTCTCTCTCACTGTCTCTTTCTCTATCTCTACCTGTCTTTGTCTCTCTGCCTCCGTCGGTCTCTCTCTGTATCTCTTGTTCTCTTTATCTTTCTGCCTGGGCTTCCGTCTCTCTCTCTTTCTCCGCAGTCGGAGCGCAGTCTGCTGCCTGACTCCCCCCAGGCAGCGGCGGCAGCCCTCCTTCCCTCCTTCAGTCCTTCCCTCCTTCTCTCCCTTCTTCCTCTAGCCAAGAACCTGGACAAGTTTCACCCTCACCTGCTCAGGTAGGTGGAGGGACGGACATGAGGGCGGGGAAGTGTTCTAGCTTGGGCCCAATATTGCTTAGAGGGGCAATTCTGACCCAGAACGGCTGGTGAGCTCTCCGCAGGGCTCGGGGAGGAAGCTGCCCTTAAGGCCCCTTAATGCCCCCTCTTGCCCCGCAACTCCTGATCCCCTTCCACTCTAGATCCTGGCCTGGAGGAAGCACTTCCCCTCAAGTACAGAGGCGCGCGCGCACACACACACACACACGCTCACGCAGATACACACACACACATATACACACACACTCACGCACACACGCACACAAACGCAGACGCGCTCTCACACACACGCCCCGAGAGACACACTAGTCCAGGGAGAAGGCGGGTACCCCTCCCCCCCGCGATGTCTCGGCTATACGTACCTGTAGAAAGCCTGGGGGGCGGCCTCTCTCATGGCATAGCCACTCTGCTCGTTCTCCAGGTAATAGGGCACCTGCTGACTGTGATGATGCAGGAAGGGAGAGAGCTGGGGCGGTGGGTGCAAGAGGACCAGGGGGCTCGGAGACACGTTATTCAGAGAGTGGAAGCCCCCCAGGCCGTTGGAGCCGAATGTCTCCGAGTTGGGGGCATAAGTGAGATTGGACGAGCCATAGACCGGCGCTGCGGCGGTGTTGAAGTCGTAGGCAGCCCCCTCCTGGTAGTTGTAGACCCCAGTCTTGTTGCTGTCCACGTACATCTCGCCCAGGGGTCGATCCAGAGGGATCTTCAGCTGCTGACGATTCAGGGGCTCCAGCTCATTGCCTTGGATCTGGTGGAGCAGGGCCACTCCAGACGATTTGGTGTGAAGGGTCATGGTCATGGTCAGTAGCAGCGAGCAAGGCGCGTAACTGTTTCCCGGAGCTGCAGTGGACTCAGCAGCCGATGGGCCACCTGTGGAAAGAGGACAAGACGCAGTGAGTTCCAGCGCAGAGCATATCGATTTGGGCCCTCCCCAGGTATCTCACTTGAGCAGGAGCAAAAGTGCACAGTGGCAGGGCTCAGAAAAACTCAGTCTCTAACTTTAAGTACTTACTCCTCATCTGAGCTAATATGCATTACAAAAGTACTGGAAACTGGCCAGAAACTGTTGCCTTACACTGACATTGGCTTAAACATCACTCCAGGCACAACTCATTTTGGAGAGAACCCAAAGAATTGCTTCGCTGAACTTTACTAGTATTAGTTGTTTAATTGAGTCTGAATTTTACAAGGGGAGGGGAGAGGACAACCGCTAATATTCCCCCAAAGGTAGCTAAGAAAAAAACAGAACTTCATATCTAAGTGGGAAGACAAATCTAGTGGTCAGCTTTTTCTCATTTATTGCCTTCTGCCCCCTACTAGGCTCCAATCTATCTCTGTTTATCTCTCTCTCCGTTTGATTCACTTTTCATGTTTTCTAGAAATATGGAATGTGTACAGAAAATGACCCTGGGTAGGTTTATTCTGTAACCAAGATATGGCACATAGAAATGGGTGTGTGGTTGCCTATGCAGCCAACCACAGGAGGCAAGACTATATTTAGCCTCAGCAGAAGAGAAGGATAGGAGGAATCTTTGTAGGGAAGAAAAGAGAGAGGAACATATACACACATACATATCTACATATTTATATATATACTTAGTTGTCACTTATATTAGGAAGTGATGATACTGCTTGAGACTTGAACTCAGTTTCCTCCTCCACAAAATGAGGTTGGACTACTTAATCAGTAAGGTTTTTTCAGCTCTAACCTTATCTGGTATCATAGAGTATAGTACTCACTACCATTACCCAAATGATTCTCTTGTGAATGACAATTCACAAATGTTCAAATACATGCACTTGCGTGTTTGTGCCTCTGAAGAGTCTCTGTTACCAAAACTTCACAAAACTGCATGTAAAATATGGCATTTCTACACAAAATTAAATCTCAGGCCCTTAGCCAGAGTAGCAGCAAATGTGCTATACTGACTAGATGACTAAACAAATAAAATTTTAAAATACAGTAGTACTTTTCTCTGTTTCTCCAAATGATTCTCCTCAGTGCACTCTGGCTAGGACATTCAGCTGATTATCAGTACTTCTTAGAATCAAACATCCTGATTTGAAAAAAAAAAACTAATTGAGCTAAACAGAAAAATAGAAAAGGCAAACTGAATTATAAACTCAGCAAATGAAACCATAGTTGGAACAAAGGTGTGGTATTTTGGAGCGTTTATCCACATTCTTCTGATTTTTTTTTTGCTTCTAACTATTTTTAAAATTTTCACCAGGCTAGAACACTCCAGTTGGCTCATTAATGCTTCTCTCTAATATTCCCCAACTCTTAACATAAGTGTATAAGTATATATAAATATTACATGTAAATGTGTTTCTTTTAACATCAACAATAGATGAGCTTTTTAATCAGTCAGTACACATTTGTACAGACTACAATTCATGCTTTCAAAGTCAAGCTTCGATAAGTAATTGTGGATGAAATGACGTCTCATTAATTTTTCATTAACACAAAAATGAACTTAGTAAATATAGACTATTGGCAATTCAAGGGTTAAAAAAACCTATAAAGTTAATCAGATGCTTCTCCACATGCCTAACTCCAACTACTTTGCAAAACAACTTTTCTACAAATTATTTATTTAGCTCCAGTGGACCCTAATTCCACTGTTTTAAAAAGCACTTCAGAGTATAAGCAAAAATCTTTAAGTTTCTTCAAAATCTGGACCTGCAACATTTAAGTGAATAACACAAAGAAATCCTGCAAGTCTTAAGAGCATAAAACATACATGCCAAACCACAAGCAGCAAATCCTCTTCTCCTTTCTAGCTGCAGACACTGACAGTAAGGTGCATGCATTCAAACCAGGCTGGAACTACAAATAAGAGAAAGAAACCAAAAACAATCTTACCCTACTACAGGATAGAGAGTGGCTTTCCTGAAATGTTCCATGGATATGCAGAACTCAAGGACTGAGAGAGTGAGAATGAAGGAAAGAATGTGCGTGTATGTGCATGTGGCTCCGTGTGTGTGTGCGAAATTGCAGGGGTTCATGAAGCAGCCAGTAGGCAGGGCACTTGGCAGCTTCCTGTATGTAAGTCACAGCAGCTCTGCTGCTGCACAAAACCGAATGAATGGCAGTTGGGAGTTTAAGGTTCCTTTACTGCCAACAGAGAGCAACAAGGGGCCACTATTGTAAATATGCCTCTTTTGAGCAGGAGCTGTCAGGCCCCTGAGAGTACTCCTGGTCCTGCTCCATGCCCTCAGAACCTGAAATCGGCCAGTGCTCCCTGAAGCTATCCAGAGGAAGAGCAAAAACAGACCTACTATAAATCATAGGCTTACTGATTAAATAGAACGTCAGTTCAAAAAGGAAAAAAAAAAAGATATCAAGTTTGGGAAATTTAAACAGGGTGGGTTTTCAAAAAAAATATGATTGAATGTCAAAAGCTTTATGATATACTCTTGGATCAAATACCCCTTCCCTAAATCTCAGAGCAGATACTCCCTTGCTATGCTTCCAATTGTACTGAACAACCAAAGTTTTTAATAAATATTTGAGCATCAATATCAAATATTTCTACCGAAACTTAATTCCACCACCTCCCTGACCAGCCCCGTAAACCTCCTTAACAGTTCAGTTAACGGTGTTCTATCAACATACTGAGCATTTTATAAACGGCACAGAGTAAGAATATTAGACAAGGTGAGTGCTTCTGTTGTAAATCACTTTTGTGCCTGCAAAAGATATTGGTGTTATGTCCTACTAAGGGTGCCTCTTTCTTTGCTGAATATCTCCTCAGTGATCATCCTACTGCTTGCCATTTCACTTGGCCATGACATTGAAAAACTATAAATAGAGCTCCTGTTAGTACCATGTTCAGGTATTCAGGATTCGACTACCATCCTGCACTATAAGGCATCTGTCATTCCTTAGGATATATTCCTTAGGATTAGGACCCACTAAACCAACCCCTGGTTAACCTTTAACCCTGGAGTTTTAAGCACTTATTCAGAGCCTTGTGGCTGTCCTTGAAAGCATGAGGGGGTGGGGAAGAGGGGGAGAATATCATTGAGAATTATAATGATCCTAGATTACAAGTAATATTATGCTCTTGGGAACCCTAGAATATTACAATGTGGAGACACACGAGGGCACTTTAACCAGCGATTGAAAAAAAATTGGAAAAAAATAATTGTTTGCAGCCCTTTGTACATTGGTAAATTCTGGCCCTCATTTTTGTTCAAGTTGGTGACCCAAACATAAAACCTATCCAAAAGTGGACCTCTCAAAAGGAAAAAAGAAAAGGAAAAATTCAAATTAAGTTTTTACTGGAGGTTGTGAGCTATCCTGTCATAGTTTTTGTGTATTTTAAGCAAAATAAAGTCAATCCAAGATGTGTAATAAAGGCCGTTTTCTTTTTCTTTCTCCCACTGTCCACCTCACCCCTCCTCCAAAATCTCCTCCATTCCAATGCTAACCATTTCTTTAGAAAATTATTTTCTCCTCTTTAGAATCTTAGAGACAAGAGGGGGAACCATTTCTTTTATTGGATACCATAGTTATTCGTTCATAAGAATAGGGTACGAGAATCTATGCCCAAAAAAAACTACCTATAATTATCTTAATGTCCATTTCTAAAAACTAACTTTTCCAAGTAAGAGATACATTTTCCCCTTCTCTATAACTTTTCCTTTGATTATCTCGGTATGTTCATACTGACTGTATCCATATTCAAGTTCAAGTGCGTATAGACTTGGGAATTAATCTTGCAGTTCTCAAAACCATGGTTCATATGTGAAACCCTGGATTTTTCCTTTATTGCCAGATAATACCACAGCCAGGCAGAGTTTCTTTTCCAGATCCATTAGAAACTTCTTAATAATACAAAACATTACCCTTCTACAAGAAGACAAAACTAAATGAATTTTGTAATGTCTTCAAAAGAGCTCTTACAGCCATTATAACTGGTTCTTTCCCTCTCACACATGGTGGTTTGGCATTGTTCAAGTTGATTATGGTATTGCCTATAAATGCTTTATTCTTAAACTGGCTCTTAAATGTTTTTTGACATCAGCAACTTTACTCTAAAATGGAAGAATAATAAAGCTTTTTTTGCCCAGTTCTATGATCTTTGTACTCTTTCCTAAATATGTCACAGCCCTCTATTTTTAATGGTTTTGCTATAGCTCCTAGATTTTTGCCCTGGGCTAAGATTTTTAATTTTCTGAGAATGTGAAATAGATTATTTTCAACTTTGAACAGACTAGCTATATTTTTAACCAGTGACATAACTAGGCAGGTGCAAGGGGGTGTAGCCACACCAGGATCAACACCAAAGGGGGCACAGAGCCATCTTTGAGTCAGCCCCACCTATTTTGATGTGATCATACTTCCTCAAGTTCAAAAGATTTTAATATGGTATTTGACTATGAAATTGCTAAGGTTGCAAGGATTTAAATGAGTGCTAAATCAAAAGAATTTATTAGTTTTTTAAGTCTGTTTACAAGATGTCTTTTCTGCATCTCAAAAAAAATGCATGTGAACAGAACAAATTAATTGATCCTAAGTCATGTTGTTACTTTTTTAATACTTCTGTGATAGACATTTTGATCCATAGAATAACTTGCTGGCCTTTTATTTTAGGAATTGGTAAAGTCAACCTAAATTTGTGTTAGCAAGCAATAAAGCAATTCCTGTTACCACTCTCAATCATGAACCTTCATGAGGTTCATATAATGTGCATGGGATTTAATCTTTTGTATTATACATATTATTTGTAAATATATTGTAAATATTATTTCTCTTGTGTTACTCACTTCCTGTCACAATTTGCAGTTTACAAAATGCTTTTCTCACAAAAACTTTGTAAATTAGAATGTAAGCTACTTAAGGGCAGAGCCTGTTTCTTTTA